ACTTTCAAATGACTTTACTTTATGTTAATGTGACATAAATTAGCACCATAAAATCCACACTAACACAATCCAAAACCAAAAAAAAAAAAAAAAAAGCATATAGATTTTATAAATCAAGCTCAAAAACTCTAAAAACAAAAAAGGAGAACCAATTAAGAAAACTAACATTTTAAGAGAAACTATATCTAAAAACTAGGGTTAGGTATCAATCAGTTCAGTTTAAATTCAAATTGAAATGTCGATTATTTGATATTTTGGTTTTTCTATAATTATTACCCAAAATCGTTTTATTTTATATTGAAATATTAATTCACTAAAGTATTAGGTTTAGTAGTTTTTGGGTTGGTTTTAAATCATATTCCCAAACTTAACTATGTTAACTTATTGGCAAGTCTTTTGTAATTTCTAGACTCAACCATTTTATAGTTTTCACCTCAAACTTTTGATATACGTAGGTTCAATTTCCTAACCATTAACATATAAAACAATTGAAAGTCATTAAAAATAATATAAAATAATAAAAGCACAAAGAATGAGAATTTTAAAATAAAGTTATTTCAATACTATTATTAAAGTATTCAACATAAAAATGAGACTAGAATAATAAATGAGACTAGAGGAATAGCTTTGATAAAATGTACCCGACAAAATCAACATATGATCTTTTGGCCAAAAGCTTGCAACAATAAGATGAAGGATCTTTAAAAAATATTTAGAATCTAGGGGTCCCCTAAGGTTAGTGCCTTTGTGTGGCAACTAATTCAGGATAAAATCTCCAGTAGATTCAATTTGTTTAAATGTGAAATTGTGGGTGCTTATGGCTTTACAAAAAGTGTTTTTTTTATCAAGATGGTATAGAAACTAAACATTTAATTATATATTGGAGCTTGGCATGAAAGATATAAAGAAAATGCATGCATTAGTGTGGGATAAATGGTGTAAGGAGCAATAGTTATTAGAAAGATTTTAATCATGGGTCTTTGATTAAGGACAACAAAATGAAAGAAAGATGAGAGATTATTTGTTTTTTTTATTGTATGGAATATTTGTGTCACGCCCCAAAACCCAAATTCGAGGCGCAACAGACGCCGTGCACTCGTGAGACGAGTCCCACAAGTGCACAAGGCTCAGAACCTATCAAATTCACATCTGACAATCCACACAAAATCTGATGATCAAATCTTAAAATTTACTCTGATATCATAAAATTTCCAAATACACTCTAGCTTACAAGATCACGATCTCTAGTATCTAAATCAATCTCGAAATTGGTAGCCTTCTAACTCGTCACTTCCCGTGGTTTCCCTGTCCTCGGTTTCATTTCCTGAAATGGTGGACAAGGAAAACTATGAGATAAACTCAGTAAGTAAATATGGAGTGCCCCTTATTTAAACTTATAGCATGCCACATGTGCAATCACGCAAAACGGATACAATACGGGAACGAAATAGACGTCTCCTCTATAGGTCACGGCCAGTGTATAATCCCCACTAGCAGAGCCACGATTTGCTGGTGTATAACCCCCACTAGCTGGGTTGAACGAACCGGCTCTCTCATTAACATGTCGACATGTGCTAGCGTTTATAACCTCCCCCACTAGCAGGGTCATGAATAACATGATCACATCGGAGACAAAACAGGCAGAAGTTAACAGGAAAATCACAATTCACAATCACTTTCAGATCATCAGGACAGTTCACAATCACTTTCAAGTAGGCATGCTCAATTTAATGAAAAACATAAACAT